AAACTTACTGCCATCCATGACCTCTTTATCTCCCGCTCCCTTAACCTCCTAGCCATCACCGAAACCTGGGTACAGGCCACTGACTCCACCTCCCCTGCGGCACTCTCCTATGGAGGTCTCGTCTGGTCCCATTCACCAAGACTGAGCGGTCACAAAGGTGGTGGGGTCGGCCTGCTCCTATCACCGCTGAGCACCTTCCAGGTCCTCCCTAACCCTCCCTCCCTAACTTTCTCCTCCTTCGAGGCTCACTGCATCCGGCTCTTCTCACCCACCCCCCCTAAGGATCGCAGTGATCTACAGGCCTCCCGGATCCATACCCCGCTTCCTGGATGACTTCGCTGCCTGGCTTCCCTTCTTCCTCTCCTCTGAGCTACCAACCATCATCCTCGGGGACTTCAATATCCCCATGAATGACAACAGCCCGGCTACTTCCCAATTCCTCCACCTAACCTCCTCCTTCGCGCTCACACAGCACACTCAATCCTCCACCCACATCATTGGGAACACCCTGGACCTCGTCTTCTCCCACCTCTGTACCCTCAACCAGTTCTCTAACACCCCCTTCCCTCTCTCCGACCACCACCTCCTCACGTTCTCCATCTCCCCCTTCCCCTAACTCCCCCCCCCCCCAGAGCGCCAAACCATCACCAGCCGCAACCTTCGCAACCTGAACCCGGCCCCCCTCCACTCAGCTGCCGACCGCCTACACGACAGCATCCTTCCACTGTCTTGTCCTGACCTAGCCACTAACACGTACAACGACTCACTATCAGCTACCCTAGACTCTCTGGCACCCCTAAACCACACGCTACATCAAACCCAGACCGCTCCAACCATGGCAGAACGACCACACTAAATGCCTCAAACGTCGCAGTCGTGCGCTGGAGAGACTATGGCGCAAAACCAGGTCCCCCCGTTCATTCTCCCTCTACAAATCTGCCTTCCTCACTTACACCTCCTCCCTCCACGCCGCCAAGCAGGCTTACTTAGTAAACCTGATTAACACCCTCTCCTCCTGCCCTCGCCGACTCTTCTCCACCTTCAACTCCCTGCTCTCTCCCCCCCCTCCTCCACTCAGTACCTCACTCACCGCCCACGAGATAGCCACTCATTTCCACAATAAAATTGATGCTATCCGTCAGGACATAGTCAACTCGCAATCTACCTCCCCACCTAGCCTCCCCCCCCCCTATCTCCCCCTCATCTCTTCCCTCCTCTGACCTCGCAACCGCACTGCCCCCCTCCACACCCAAGACCCCGCTTACCGTAACCCCACCAGCTCTGCACTCCTTCAGCCCGCCACCACTGAGGAAGTCACCAGGGTCTTCTCTGAAGCCCGCCTCACTACCTGCCCCCTAGACCCTATCCCCTCTCGACTCCTCCAGTCACCCCCCTCTTCCCTCATCTGCTCCCTCACCCACATCTTCAATCTCTCCCTCTCTACCGGCGTATTCCCCTCCCCCCTAAAGCATGCGCACATCACCCCCATACTCAAAAAGCCCTCCCTGGACCCCTCTGACCCAAACAACCTCAGACCCATCTCCCTGCTGCCACTCACTTCCAAACTCCTGGAGCGCTTAGTCTACAACCGCCTAAGCGCCCACCTAACTGACAACAACCTCCTTGATCCACTACAGTCCGGCTTCCGTCCCCTACACTCCACCGAAACCGCCCTCCTCAAAATCACCAACGACCTACTTACCGCCAAAGCCAAAGGCGACTACTCTGTCCTCCTCCTCCTGGACCTCTCCGCGGCCTTCGACACAGTTGACCACCCCCTCCTCCTTAATAAACTATTCTCCCTTGGCATCAGAGACACCGCTCTCTCCTGGTTCTCCTCTTACCTATCCCGACGCTCCTTCAGCGTTTCCTACAATGGTGCCACCTCCCCTTCCCTCCCCCTCTCTGTTGGGGTCCCCCAGGGCTCTGTCCTTGGACCCCTTCTCTTCTCCATCTACACCTCCTCCCTTGGCAAACTCATACACTCCCACGGCTTCAACTACCATCTCTATGCTGATGACACTCAAATTTACCTCTCCACCCCTCACCTCACCTCCACTTTCTCCGCCCGCATCACTCACCTCCTAAACGACATCTCTGACTGGATGTCGCTCCATTTCCTCAAACTCAACCTCTCCAAAACCGAGCTTCTCGTCTTCCCTCCTGCCCGCGCCCCCCCCCCATCCTATCCATCACTACTAACATCACCACCATCAATCCCGCCCCGCAAGCCAAAGTCCTTGGGGTCATTCTGGACTCTAACCTCTCCTTCCAACCTCATGTCAAATCACTGACAAACACATGCAGGCTCCACCTCCGCAATATCGCCAAAATACGCACCTTCCTTACCCCAGACACCGCTAAACTACTTGTGCACTCCCTGATTATCTCACGCCTTGACTACTGCAACTCCCTCCTCACCGGCCTACCCCAGTGCAAACTCTCCCCGCTTCAGACCATCCTGAACTCAGCTGCCAGACTCATCCACCTCACCAGCCGCTCCACCTCTGCCACCCCCCCCTCTGCCTCTCCCTCCACTGGCTCCCTATCGCCCAACGCATCAAATTCAAACTACTCACTCTGACCTACAAAGCCATTCACAACACTGCCCCTAACTACCTCACCGACCTGATTCCCAAGTACCACCCTACCCGTACCCTTCGCTCTTCACAGGACCTCCTTCTATCTTGCTCCCTGGTCTCCTCCTCACACGCACGTCTGCAAGACTTCTCCAGGTCCTCCCCCATCCTCTGGAACTCACTACCCAATCCAATCCATCAGACTGTCACCTTCCCTCCTCACCTTCAGGCGCTCCCTGAAAACCCACCTCTTCAGGGAAGCCTACCCCACCCTCACCTAACTGCTGCTCTCCTTCATTCCTCCTACCACTCCATCCCCCACAGCCACTTCCTCCTGTACCACTACCCCCTCCCTCCCAGATTGTACGCTCGAAAGAGTAGGGCCCTCTTACCCCTCGTGTGCTGTTCGTAGCTGCTGTAATGTTTCATGTATTGTCCCCCCCTCTATTGTACAGCGCTGAGCAAACCCTTTGGCGCTATATAAACTCAATGTAATGTAATGTAATAATGTAATGACTGAATGAGAAGTTGAAGCTCTGAATTAAAGTTGTGCTTCCGGTATGCATTCCAAGACTTTATATTCAATTGTGACCATTCAACTAAAGCAGACTGTTGTATTATAAGTAAAATGGACAAGATCCATTCCTCTGCTAGGCTTCTGTTGATGTTTTGGAGTCCATTTATAAGATACTACCACCACAACAGTGCTGTGACAGGTCGATCTTGGATTCTAAGATGGGTAACTTGTCAACAATATTAATTAGTTCTTTATATGCTCCTATGAACAACCTACTAGGGGTGTGGTCACAACAAAAAGCATCATCCTTGCCCTAGTGGATTCTCCATATTTAACCACTTGCCTACCAGGCACTTATACCCCCCTATTTACCAGGCCAATTTTCAGCTTTCAGCGCTGCCGCACTTTGATTGACAATTGCGCGGTCATGCAACATTGTACCCATATGAAATTTTGATCATTTTTTTCTCAGAAATAGAGCTTTCTTTTGGTGGTATTTAATCGCCACTGGGCACTTTACTTTTTGCGCTATAAATAAAAAAATTTTGAAAAAAAAAAAAAGTTTCTTTGTTTTCTATTATAAAATTTTTCAAACAGGTATTTTTTCTCCTTCACTGATGTGCGTTGATGAGGCAGCACTGATGGGCACTGATAGGCGGCACTGATGAGCACTGATAGGCAGCACTAAAGGGCACTGATAGGCAGCACTAATGAGGTCGCATGGATAGGCAGCACTGATAGACAGCACTAATGAGGTGTCACGGATAGGTGGCACTAATATGCAGCACTGATAGGCGGCACTGATAGGTGACACTGATGATGGGTACTGATAGACGGCACTGACTGGCATCACTGCTGGGCACTGACTGGCGGCACTGACTGGCACAACCCCTGGGCACTGACTGGTGGCACTGACTGGCAGCACTGCTGGGCTGCACTGGTGGGTGGCACTGGTGGGCAGCACTGGTGGGTGGGCACAGGTGGGTGGCACTGGTGGGAACAGGTGGGTGGGCACAGGTGGGTGGCACTGCTAGGCACAGGTATGTGGCACTTCTGGGCACAGGTGTGTGACACTGCAGAGTGGCACAGGTGGGTGCACTGCTGGGCACAGGTGGGTGCACTGCTGGGCACAGGAGGGTGATCTGCTGGGCACAGGTGGGCAGAGCTAGTGGGCGCACTGCTGGGCACAGGTGGGCGGAACTTGCGGGTGGCACTGCTGGGCACCGATCATCAGGGCACTGATCATCAGTGCCCTGATGATCGGTGCCGATCCCCGCTCTGACAACTGCCGGTTCTCGGCAGTACTTTCCTCACGATCTGACAGCGTGAGGAAAGTGCAGCCGAGAACCGGCACTTGCATTTCCCTCTGATCAGCGTGTCATTGGACACCGCTGATCACGTGGTAAAAGGCCGCTGTGATTGGCCTTTTACCACATCACGTGATCAGCTGTGTCCGTAGGACACAGCGATCACGGAGATCGCCGGGGGAGGACGTCATATGACGTCCACTCAGAACTGGCCGGCCACAGTGAAGCCGTCATTCGGCTATCTGCGGTCGGCAGGTAGTTAATTAAAAAAACCTTACACGTTATAAAAACATGTAGCTTGACTAAAATTCTGATGTGAGCCTAATATGGGACTTTTAGGTCCAGTAGTCCCAGAAAGCAATAATGACCCAATCTACCTTGCCTCTCCTTCCACACTGAAGGGAGAGGTTCATTTTGGGTGGAGTTGATCTTTTTCTACTTTATACTACATGTTAAAAGTCAGAACTGCATCTAAAAAAATTACAAAAGGTTCTAGATTCTTCCTGATCAACAATACTGTACATTCATTGATGGCAAAACATAAGACTTGCATATGAAGCATTATTTAATAAAGAACTATACAATGGTAAACATTTTTCAAGGCATGATGAATTGTTTTAGTCTTTGGTTCCTTATTGTGCAAGTAGGATCATCTACTGTATCCTCCATTTTCTGACCCAAAAGTCGAAGGCTAGGGTGGAAACATGCATAGTACAAAATCAGAGAAATAATACCCAAACCCAGGGCAACAACTACAGCAATGCTAAGTATTTCAAATACTAAAGTGTTCGAAAAGACAGGCCTGAGGTAGAAGCACAAGACAAGAATTCCAGTCGTGGCAAGGGTCCGAACAACATAATAAATAGTCATAGGAACCAAAGTCCTTGATCCTTTTATATTGAAAAAGGTAAAAACCAAAATAATTCCTACTAGAGCCCTGTACAAAAATTCCATCCTTTGAGTTCTGCAGAAATCTGTTTGTTCCTTCCAAGCCCAGAAAAAGCCACCAAGGCCCAGTACAACCATGAGAACTGTGAAGAGGTAAACACTACAGTTTAGGAGAAACACAATGCTTACAATCCAAGAAGTCAAAGTGAGCAATTTATAAAATACATAGGAGAACATAGGAGCTCCGACACTGATCCCCTTCTTCCCTGGCAAAGATTTTCGTAGGGACATTTGATAATCAACAGTGGACCATGAGATACTAGTAATAGATACCAAGATGGATGCATCTGAAATGAAAGAGAACCATGAATTATTTTTTGTCCATCAACTGGAATCTCCTACTCATTTAAACATATTTTATATCAGGGCAAAATTAGAAAAAACATATTTTGTACATCTCTGCAATTTACACATAGTTACCATGTTTTATCCCTTTAACGACCCTGCAAGTACAAACAATACCTGCAGATTGTAAGAAATGTACTCTTAAGTCCTGTTTTGGGCTGACAACACACAGCATTTTTGTGGACTGAGTGGTGTCAGCACTGCTCTGTGTGTTTTTCTAAACTACTCAACTACTCCCACTCTCAGATCTTTGCAATATAAACACTAATCATTTTGTAAATAAGCACTGAGAATGCTAAATAGACTTGCTGAGATAACACAGAAAGTGTGCACAAGACAGCTCTGAATTTCTAACAGGATCAACAGGTTTTCTTTGCATTTGTCAATCAAATATATCAAAATGCTTCGAGCTGTCTATTGACTGAACAAAATTACGCAAATAAGAGTTCATTGTCAAGGTTTGCATATACTTTAAAGCCAGGTAACTAATGTGTTGAAGCTTTACACCCTCACAAGCTTCCCTAGTACTGGGTTCTTATGAAAGTATGTGTAATTAATGAACCACACCAAAAGGGCATTTGATTTGATACACATTTAGTCCCCTTGCACATGGGGCCATCTAGGGGCTGTGCGTCCCCCTCAGCGCTTTAGTGGTGCTGGTGTTTAGGGCTCTGCGCATTCAGGGACGAAGGTCAAGAACACAGAAGACCTGCATCCTGAACCCTAGTCCCTGAACACACAAGGCCATAAATGCCAGTACCACTCAATGAACAATGAACAACAGTGAATATTATTACAAGAACAAAACCATGTAGACACATATTAGATTAGATTAGACAAAAACTGAACTGCATAGTTAAAAAAATACATTGCTTGCAGTGGATAGTCTCAAAGAGTAAAAAGACTCATTGCAGCAGTATGTACTGACAAATACATGCTTCCTCCAAGCAATTCTTATTTGTCTGCCTGTCTTCAAAGTATAGACAGTTAAAGAACAAACAGCTTCCATGCTCCTTAACATAAAATGTTAAATTAAAACATATTGTAGATATACCATAGCTTACTCTGGCTACCACTGGGTACAGAAAGGGGAAACACAACCACACCAGTTCTGTAAATGTAGTTTAAAATAAATTTTAGATTGTTTAATAAGTCTATGCACAGAGCAATCATGGTGTGCAAAGTATAGTAACTCATAGCAACCAATCATATTTCACACTTTATCATTTAAGTACAATTCCAAGATCTAAAGATGGCTGCTGGCTGATAGCTATTGGTTACTGCACTTTGCACACTGCATTTGCCTTATTAAATAATTGTATTTTGTTATCATATGAGTTACAAAATGTCTGTTTCTACATACATTGAAATATAGTGATCTGCCCGTGCTCCATCAGGATGTAGATCTGTAGAATAAGCTGTGGTGCGCTTTCCAGATATGTTTTAAAGCACTTTAACATACTCAAGTCCGTCATAGCGTCCACTGCTCTCTTCTTGGTCTCCGTACAATTCTTTTTTTGAGGGTCATAATTGACTTGGAATCCATATTTTATAACATACATAAATCTGGAAGTACAATAGAAAATATGTGAATATAATTATATGAGTATACTGCATGTAAACTGCATTTAAAGTATGTGGATATGTTTTTAGCTCAGACATACAAAAAAGTTGACAGTAGCACACTGCGATGAGCTTATGAATAAAAAAATATAAGAAGTGTCTACAAAAAGATTACCACCCACCTAATTCTGATTTAATCCATTATTCGTCAGACCCTATGTCTCCATCACTGCTCGCCTTCTGGACAAGAGCCATTTACATAATTTAAATCCAAATGCAAAAGATGACCCAAATTACTTCAACGCTCCTTAAAGTAGAAAATCTGGTCAAAATTTAACTAAGTTTAAACCTGCTCCCACCCCCATTCTAAGCCCTATACTAACTACCCTGTAAAGGAAAGATGTGTTTACTTACCTAATCTAAGGGTGCTCTGATCTGGTCCTGTGATCGGGTTCCAGTGCCAGCTTCAGTGTAGAGGAGGAACAGAGGACAATGGATGCCCCATCCCATAGTAAGTCCATGGGTGAAGTCACTACCCAGGCTCTCAGCGATTGTCACTGTTGTCTCCTCTCCCCTAAAGCCCTTAGATTAGGTAATTAGGTTTAAGCTTCGTTAGATTTTGACCAGACTTCTACTTTAATTCTGCACGAAAATGGGAACTGGACCTAGAAACAGAGTTGGAACAGGATGTCTGGCCCAAATTTGGGATACCACTAAATTCAGACTACACTGGACATTAAAAACTTAACAGTTAAGCTGCAAGGCATTATGCCCAAATTTTGCAAGGTCCGGGAACCATGAGTCACAAATTTCCTACTACCTTCTCAAACTATGACATATGTAATCTTGATTATTCACAACTGCTGAGAATTCTCCTATGCACGCCCCTCACACCCAATTTGCTTCCTTACTTCCCACTCCTATTCTTCTTCATCTGAGCCCTTTCTGTTTTAATCATTCTATTCCTTTTATATTGGTTACACTATACAACACTACTGTCCCTCTCCTCATGCTTTATGTACCTTCTATATTTTTTGTACGTTTAAAAAAAATGCCTAACTATGTAACCTCTGTACTTTTTGAAACTTTTTAATTAAAAAAATTGACAAGAAAAAAAATATAAGAAGTTACTTATCACCAAAGCCATTTTTTTACATCGACCCTAAAGCAAGTCCTATTAAATGCTAGTCTACTGATGAAGACTATATTAATCCAACTGGTCAGTGGGCAAACACAAGCAAGTAACAAAAAAAAAAAAAGTAGTACCAGATGGACTTTAGAAGCATATGTAGCAAGCAACAAGTATGAACAGAAACCAGGTTTGTTTTAGACATAAACATGCTATAGACAAACAGGCAGGGGTGTATTTACCACAAGGTAAATAAGGCATTTGCCTAGGGCAGCATTTTTCAGGGGGGGGCAGCACTGCCCCTTGAAGAAGAGACAGAAGAAGGGACACACGCAGCATGGGGATCTGGTGGGTTCCGAGAGATGCTGTGGGTTTCATGCCGGTGTATGCACATCCGGAGTCTCATTCCTGGGAATGTCCGGAGCTGTGAAGGTGAATGTCTTTCTCTCTCTCGCCATGGGGGATGGTGGCTGGTGTGTGGGGAGCAGTGGTAGTGAAAGGCTTGGGTGGACAGGGGTGTTCTTGGTCAATGTCAGGCTCTTTTTGTGGGGGGGGCACCAATTTTTGTGTTGCCTAGGGCAGCACAAAACCTAAACACACCACTGCAAACAGGATATGATTTACAAAATACAGTAAGGATGAGATCAGTAAAAACAGAGATACTGTTTAGAAATTATCACTTTTATTTGCTCAAAGTAAAAATAGAACAGTATGTAAAAATAACCAATACTACCATGAAAGCTGTTCAAATAAATATTGAAATGTGTGGAATATTAAAGAAATCAAAACCTAAATGTGCTCGATTCTAAAACCACCAGCAGCTATACACCCTGTGCATATCTCATATTTACACTACTCAAAAAAATTAAAGTAACGCTTTTTAATCAGAGTATAACATTAAGCCAATTAAACTCCTGGGATATTGATCAGGTCAGTTAAGTAGCAGAGTAGGTTGTTAATCTGTTTCAGTTGCTTTGGTGTTAATGAAATTAAAAACAGGTGCACTAGATGGTCAACAATGAGACGATCCCAAAACAGGAATGGTTTTACAAGTGGAGACCAATTACATTTTTTCCCTACTCATCTTTTCTGACTGTTTTTCACTAGTTTTCCATTTGGCTATAGTCGATGTCACTACTGGTAGCATGAGGCAATACCTGGACCCTACAGAGGTTGGACAGGCAGCCCAACTCCTCCATGATGGCACATCAATATGTGCCATTGCCAAAAGGTTTTCTCTGTCTTCCAGCACAGACTCAAGAGCATGGAGGAGATTCCAGGAGACAGGCAGCTTCTCTAGGAGACCTGGACAAAGCTGTAGAAGGTCCTTAACCCATCAGCAGGACAATTATCTGCTCCTTTGTGCAAGGAGGAACAGGATGAGCACTGCCATATCCTTACAACATGACCTCCATTAGGCCACTGGTGTGAATGTCTCTGACCAAACAATCAGAAACAGACTTCATGAGAGTAGCCTGAGGGCCCGACATCCTCTAGTGGGCCCTGTGCTCACTGCCCAGCACCATAGAGCTTGATTGACATTTTCCATTGAACACCAGAATTGGCAGGTCCACCACTGGTGCCCTGTGCATTTCACAGATGAGAGCAGGGTCACCCTGATCATATGTGACAGACATGAAAAGGTCTGGAAAAGCCATGGAGAATGTTATGCTGCCTGTGACATCATTCAGCATGACCATTTTGGTGGTGGGTCAGTGATGGTCCAGGGAGGCATATCCATAGAGGGACGCACAGACCTCTACAAGCTAGACAATGGCACCCTGACTGCCATTAGGTATAAGGATGAAATTCTTCTACCTATTTTCAGACCCTACTCTGGTGCAGTCCTGGGTTCCTCCTGCTGCACGACAATGCTTGGCCTCATGTGGTGAGAGTAAGCAGGCAGTTCCTGGAGGTTGAAGGAATTGATACCATTGAATGGCCCCCATGCTCGTCTGATCTAAATTACATAGAACATTTCTGGGACATCATGTTTCAGTCCATCTGACGCCACCGGGTTGCACCTCAGACTGGTCAGGAGCTCAGTGATGTCCTGGTCCAGATCTGGGAGGAAATACCCCAGGAGGCCATCTTTCGTCTCATTAGGAGCATGCCCTGACGTTGTCAGGCATGCATATTATTATTATTATTATACAGTGTTTATATAGCACCAAAAGGTTTGCTCAGCACTGTACATTAAAGTGGGGGGGACAGTACAAGAGACAATACAGTAACAATACAATACACGATGGGTTCGAGGGCCCTGCTCTTTCGAGCTCACAATCTAGGAATATAAGCACGTGGGGGTCATACTGAGTACCATTTTGTGTTGCTGCAATGAAATTTAAGCAAAATGGACTAGCCTGCTGCATCAGTTTTTCTCTTTGTTGTTCGGGGTGTCTTTGAATTCAGTCCTCTGTAGGTTGATAATTTTCATTTCTATCAAACGATGGGGCATCCTTATGTTGCTAACACATTACCCAGTCCATATCAGTATAGATATCCAGCATGATATTTTTCCCCATTGAGATCTGATGTGTTTTCAGTGTTCCATTCATTTCTTTGAGCAGTGTATGAGCATGTATTACATAAAATAACCAAATTAGTGCAGAGCGTGGTGTAACTAAACCCAACTTAATATCTACATAAATACCAAATACAAAAAATATATCATTAATATACATAAAGTCCATTAACTTCAGTGACTGTGGAACACATATTGAATCATCATCCGTGCTTGAAGAAACTGAAAGAACTTTGTGCTGAACACACCACCACCGGATACCTGCTCACCTCAAATGAATGATCTCACAATGTAATGTCTGGTCAGAAATAGCTTTTTGTCCCTCCATGGACCAGATGAATCTCTTCTGTCATTTCGGAATATCCTCCACACCTTCCATACACTCTGCTTAACTCCATCACTAGTCTGTGTGAATGGCAGCAGCGGCCTTCAGCAGGCGGGAGAGACATGACAGGGGAGGGAGAGGAAGGAGACACAGCGGGTCACCTCACACAGGCTCTGTTTGTGCCGCTCTCAATTGCACCGGAACACAGCCACATATCAAAGTTTGCCAACCATGTAGGAGCGACTGCACAGCCACAAAGACAGACAGTGTTCATTCCTGCACAGCTGTCAAAGTTTGATATGTGGCTGTGTCCGTGCATCCCCTACTTTTGCATTCACTGCTATAGTCTGTCTGTACGCATTTTAGGGGGTGAATGCACATGGTATCCTGCATGCAGGACAGATGCAAGCGCCACTCTGAACAAAGCCTTACAAAGGAAAGTAGTCTCCCATATACACTATAGGTGTCCATTTATGAAACTGAGTTAAGCTGTGGTAATTAGGTGGTTTATCTCCATTATGCAGCAGTTTATGCAGCTGCGCGAGGAGGGAAGATACTGTTTTCTACTTCTCATTGCATCTCAGTGTGAAGCAACCAGTGATTGCAACATAACCGGCCACTTTAGCGCGTGATGTAAGCACCTAACTGGCTGTTTGTGCAAATTATCTCCCTCCCTGCTACTTCACCTTCATCATTATTCTATGCATGAAAGTAAAAAACCTTCAGTGTGCAGCTCCCCCTCAGCCTCCCTAATATTTACCTGAGCATGATCTCGATCAAGCGATGTGCACGAGAGCAATGGCTCTCCCGTGTTTCTCCCTCCTCATTGGCTCCGACTGTTGTCAATCACAGCCAGTGAGGAGGGAGTGAGGGCGGGGCCAAGCCAAGCTCTGTGTGTCTTTTGGACATACAGAGCTGGCTCAGGAGCAAGCATGCACAAGTGCCCCCAGAGCAAGCAGGGGGGAGGGGCCAGGAGCGCCAGCAGGGAACTCAAGAAGAAGAGGATCAGGGCTGCTCTATGCACAGAGCTGGTAAGTGTAACATGTTTGTAATTTTTTTTTTAATTTGTACCTTTTTAAATCACTTTCATTGAGGAGCATTTCTGCTCATGATCTTATGGACACAACTCTCACTTCTCACTTTCACTAATTATTGTGGCCGTTCACTGCATATTTCATGCACGTCTCATTTCAATCAAAGAAGAAAAGTACAAATGTTGATAAACTGTCTCTCTTCTGAGAGCTGTTTGTGCCACATTGTGTAACGGCAGATTGCACTCTATTAAAAGGACATCTATAAGTGTTTTGTCAGACCTGGGCATTTTATGGCTCCCAGATCACATCTGGTGCTTTGCTTTCCCTGTCCAGCTCACGATACCTCCACTGTCCTTACTGAGGAAGCAGACAGGCTCAGAGAGACATATTGATCCATGTGGAGAGCTGCAAGCACTGGATGGACTTGTGCTTGTGTATCCTGGACTGACAGGCTCAGGGAGATAACTGGCAGACCTGCAAACAGTGGAAGGAGAAAGCCTGAGGAGCTGATTGGTATAGAGGGGAGGCTCAGTTCTGCTGGAAGAGCATTGGGAGGTCTCCTTGGCAAATGCCCAGATAGCAAGCAATTGAGTTGCAAGTTGTGAAAATGACTTGCTAAGCTTTTGCTGGGCTTCAAAAATTTGTTGCACAATTGCAGCAAGTCCGCATTGCATGACTCTAGATCAACTTTCTTTGCAAACATTCTGCAAGTTTGCTGCAAGTTCTGGTTCAGTTATGTTGTGCAATAGTCATTGCATCACAGGGGTCACTGTGTCTGAAATTTCTTTCTATAGACTTACAGAGCTCTTGCTGTAGACTCACCACTGCAACTTTGCTCTTGCTAGAGACTTGCCATGCAAATTTGCAGCAAATTGGAAAAGTGTTATCTAGTAATTGTGCTTCAAGTGCTCCGCAAGTGTACAACTTGCCAGTGAAAATGTGCAGCAAGTTAGCAGACATTGCCATAAATTTGCCATAACACTGCCATAAATTTGTGACAAGTTATCCTTGCTATCTGGGTGCATTACCTAGGAAACATTCAGACGATCTCCCGCCATTCTGCTACCTAGCCACATTTTTCCTTTTAGCGCAAGAATCAAGCCTGCAGGCTGCAAATCCCAGGAGCTGTGTATCTGTTATTCACTCAAGCATTGACAGAAATCCCTTCTGTAACACGGATCTCAGGCTCGCTCTTTCCAGTGCATGCAGATTTGCCAGTTATCTCCCGAGCCTGTAAGTCATACATCGACACTCAGAGAGCAGATCAGTTCATCAACCCTTGTGCCTGTCACCTCCCTCACTGCTGACATTGCTACACTACTACTTCTGCATACTATTTAATGAGCAGTTGTACCTAGAAACAGGTGTTTTTTTCTATATGCTTACACTTATGTTTCAATATGCATCCCAGGTCCAAATTTAATAGTGAGCAGAATTAAGTTCAGCCTATTTGTTCAGCCCTCCACAACAGTCCCAGTTTCTCTTGTGGCCCCTTAGGAAAATTAACTGCCCACCCCTGCTCTAAGTAAAGAACAGCTGGACAACAAAGTTTAGAAGATGGACCCCAATATTCTGAAACAGACAAGAAGGTTAACTAACTTACCTAACAAATGTTCCAAGAAGGAAGAGGTGAAGGAACAAAATCCCTTTTAGTTTCCAAAAACTGTCTTTATGACAGTCATCTTTAAACCATGAGTAACTAAAGGCTTGTATTATCAGAGTAGACACAAGAACAAAGAATATGGTCAGCAGGCCAAATAAAGGGAGCTCTTGCTGGAAGTATTTGAATGTAATCCACAAATCTATTCCAATGTCAAATAAGAAGGAGAGTACTCCAAAGATGGTCATGAAAAAGTTCCATTTTGTAAAGCTCATGATCCAGCATCCAGGAAGGATTGTTTTATACCATTTGTTCAAGAATCCCATAAATAGTTCCAAATCAAATAGATTTTTTAACAGTTCTCATTTTACAGGTCCATGATGTTCAAGTATAACTAATGTTTCGAATACTGACATTAAATAGCTTGCATATCTCTTTGCAGAAATATTGGATCATGTTGGAGATTAGGTTTTCACAGTATACAACACATCTATGACGTTTCCAAGCTTAGTTGACCAAATACAGTGTTCATTTACTGCCAGTCTGAAATGAAAAATTGATATATATTATTTTCTAATACAACTATACACTTAGTACAGTAAAACTGTATTTAGAAACGTGCATACAAGCACCAGAATACATCACTCAGCATGTGGCCATACCATGCTTAATGCCTCTGAGGCTTTTCAGACAGAAGATTTCAACTAAGACAGCAGCCACAAGCACAATGGTCATCAAATGAAAGTACCATCGCTTGTGCTGATTTCTATTGTTTCATTTAACTAAACTAAAGCCAGCCATACATGGATCGAAATCTGGCTGATCCAGCAGGGGCCGACTGAATTTTGATCCATGCATGGGCATTCTGGTTGTACAAAAGTCGATCTACAGATCGACTTCTGTACAACCAGCCTGTTGGAACATTTCCGCACGATCAGTGCCACAAGCTATAGACAGTGATGCTGATCAGTGTATTCTGATGGGGAGGAAGTCTTCCGACTGTCATAATACAAAGACTCAGCAGGATTGACACCACCATCTACTTCAAATGTGTGGAAGAGGGAATCTTGCTGGTTGAATGAAAAAAATTACTTTTGTATGGGCTGCCTTAAATCAACTGAAATGGGTTGGTTCAGCTGGCTGAACATCCATGTGTACATCTGTCTGTTCTACAGAAGGCAATCAAACTAACATGCTGGAAATCCAGCATTTGACCCACCTCCAATCAACACTGGCAGCTAATAGCTGCGAGCACTGATCAGTGCATTGTGGTGGGGGGGGGGGGGGGGCACAGCAGGGGGGTGACCGCACTAACATTGCGTGTGTTAGTTTGGTGATCTCTCAACTTTAAAAGATGGTGGGGTGGTCTAGCAAACTGCATTGTTGACGGTAATCTAATACTCTGAGAACACCAGTTGCTGAGCCATGTGAATGTGCAGACTCACCATTCACCACTCCACCCATTGTAGGCTTACTGCAGGATAGAGGGACATTGCAAAGGTAGAATCATGCAACAAGGGTCTCCGATCCTACCCAGAAGCAAATAAGGTAGGAGGAGTCAGCACAAAAAAAGCCAGTCAGTAGTTCGATTGGAAATGGTTATTCAAAGGATAGGCATGAGCAGTCTGCTTTAGTAAAACATCCAATTAGTTTATTTCACCAATGAAAATGTGTTTCGTGGCTTTGAATTGCCACTTCCTCAGTTGGAATGATGGTGATAAAATTGGTGTCTGTTGGTAAAAAGTTGTCACAGGGTATAATAGGTATTTAACATAACTCAAAAGCACAGTCAAAAAACTTCAAACACATTGAAAGCAATCAAACATGTGAGAAGCATGCAGATAATAAAAGAAATATAGCAATTGGGATGTTTCTAATATATTGAACATATAGCTTAAGATTGATATATAAATAAATGTAGCAGTAAGCTAAATTTTCCTTTGACCAGCTCTGCAGTGCTAATCGATGTATTCTGACAGGAGGAACTCCACTGTCAAAATACAATAACACAACATGGAAGATTCCTCCATCCACCTCACTTATGTGGATGGGGGAACCCATCAGTTGTTTTCATTCAGCCTCCTGGCGGATTGAAAAAAAATTGTATATGTATGGCCAATCAATTATCACCAAACCCTGCCAGCAAAACATACTGTAAAAACTGTACAGCCATGGCCAAAGGTTTTGAGAATTACACAATTATTAATTTTCACAAAGACTGCTGCCTCAGTTTTTATGATGGCAATTTGCATATACTCCAGAATGTTATGAAGAGTGATCAGATGAATTGCAATTAATTGCAAAGTCCCAATTTGCCTTGAAAATGAACCTAACCCCCCGCCCCCCCCCCAAAAAAAAAAATGCTGATTGAGAATAGTTAGAATAACAGACTGGAAGCTTTAAAAGGAGAGTGGCACTTAAAATCAATGTTCTTCCTCCTGTAAGAAAAACGCATGCAGTCATCATTGCTTTGCACCTAAATCAACTGTTTATTGGATCATCAAGAACTTCAAGGAGAGAGGTTTAATTGTTGTGAAGAAGGCTTCAGGGTGCCCAAGAAAGTCCAGCAAACACCAGGACAGTCTCCTAAAGGTGCTTCATCTGCGGGATCGGGGCACCACCAGACCAGAGCTTCCTCAGGAGTGGCAGCAGGCAGATGTGAGTGCATCTGCATGCACAGAGAAGTGAAGACTTTTGGAAGATGGCCTGGTGTCAAGAAGGGCAGCAAAGAAGCCACTTCTCTCCAGGAAGAATACCAGGGACAGACTGATATTCTGCAAAAGGTACTGAGATTGCACTGCTGAGGACTGGGGTAAAGTCATTTTCTCTGATGAATCCCCTGTGTTTTCCCCTTGTTTGGGGCATCTGGAAAAAACTTTCCAGAGAAGAAAAGGTAAGCGGTACCATCAGTCCTGTGTCATGCCAACAGTAAAGCATCCTGAAACCATTCATGTGTGGGGTTGCTTCTCAGCCAAGGGAGTGGGCTCACTCACGATTTTGCCATGAATAAAGAATGGTACAAAAACATCCTCTGACAGCAACTTCTCCCAACCATCCAAGAACAGTTTGGTGCCCAACAGTGCCTGTTCCAGCATGATGCAGCAGCTTGCAAAAGTGATAACTAAGTGGCTTGGGAAACAAAACATAGAAATTTTGTGTCCATGGCCAGGAAACTCCCCAGACCTTGATCACATTGAGAACTTGTGGTCAATCCTCATGAGATGGGTGAACAGAAAAACCCCACAAATTCTGACAAACTCCAAGTATTGATTATGCAAGAATGGGCTGTCAGCAGTCAGCATGTGGTCCAGAAGTTGATTGACAGCATGCCAGGGCAAATTGCAGAGATCTTGAAAAATAAGGGTGAACAATGCATAAACTTAATGTAAATTTCAATAAAAGCCTTTGACATTTATGAAATGTTTGTAATTATACTTCAGTATACCATAGTAACATCTAACAAAAACATCTAAAAATACTAAAGCAGCAGACTTTGTAAAAATTAAACTTTGTATCATTCTCAAAACTTTTGGCCACAGCTGTAAGTAGTTTCAATGCCATACTTGATCCCCTTGCTAAGTTTAGTGATAGTAAGAATATAGAATAGGAATTAAATTAAACAGAGGAAGTAAAACACAACGAATATGTAAAACCCTCATAAGGTGTTCTTACCTTGCAGGTTAATATTTGATCACTATTAGAGTGAAACTTGTACTTCTAGAAGGGAGTGTATGCTGTGTACACTCATGTCACAATGAAGGAAGTGCACTGACAATGGGCAGGTCTGCTTGCTTTCATTTTGCATTAGCAGTCTCTCAGGTAACCACTTGGATGAAAGGTTACACCCAAGACTGTGCTAGCGTCATATGCAGCTGGGACTTTACAGGAACCTGAATATGTAATTATTGTAGAACCGGAAAAGTTGAATTTTTTACAGTTACCAAGGTCTTCATGTCATGGACAGGCATAGATCTATACTCAGACAAAAAAGTTAACAGCAAAACTAAATACTAAAAAAAAACAAAAAAAAAAACATAAATTAAAAAAAAAAAAAAAAAGAAAAACGGGCAGATTTTATCTGCCATCACTTTTCTATGTTTCTATGTTCAATAAAAGCAAAAACAAAATACATAACATGGAGACTTAAAGTGACACTAAACTCTGGTTTAAAAAAATCTATTAAAGGCTATATTATTAAAGTGTTACTTAGGCTAGGTTCACACCTATGCAGTTTGAATTTGATCCGTTTCTGCAGTGCATTTTGCTGTGCGTTTTGTGCTTTTGCACATGCGTTTTTGACACTTTGCGTTTTTTTTCCTAACTTGTTGCTGAGCAGATTAAAATGCAAAACACATAAAAAAAAAAATGCATCAAAACTGCACTACATGCATTTCTGCAGCATATCCACTGAAATCTATTGAACCAAAAACACAACATTTTTGCCCTTTCCAAAAAAACACACCGGGTGAAAACTCGGAGATGTTAACCTGCCTCATAGGAAATCATGTTAAATTGACTGCTGTGCATTTCTGCAAAATGCAAAATGCAATAGAAAACACATTGATATGAACCTAGACTAAACCCACAACAGTAAAATTAGTCTGTATATGCAGTAAAACATGCTTGTATAGTCACTTGAACTTAAGGGGTTAATCCTCTGCATTATATAAAAAGGATGTTTGATTTTATATTTTCTGATCCTCCCCTTCTTCCACATTTAGAGCCTAGTGGACACTCTGCACATGCTCAGTTTGGTAAGTATTGCTAGAAAGTTTCTCTTGGGAGAGTGCATGTGATCAGCACAAGGCCAATCAGCTCTGTCCAGACAGAGGGTCAGGGGTTATGCAATCTCATAGGGCAGTCAGAGGAGAATGAAAACTCCTCCTACAAGCTTTAACCAGTGCTCAGTTGGACACTGATAGATTTTACAAGACTGCTATATACTGCTGATGAGAAAAGGTATTTTGCAGTTTATATTTATTAAAATAATTGCATTTCCATGTTCTGTGTACTGTTGGAGACCAGATATATTGAATGAAGGGTCCTGGGTTTAGTAACACTTTAAGTGAAATCTCACATGCAGTATACAAATAAGCTGCAAGCCTAAAGTGAAAATTCCTTTGCAAGAAAAAAACACCTAAAATTAAAGTGAAGCAATGCTGCACTAAACATCACTGTTGACACAACGCAAAAAACCAAGTGCTCAGACCTGAAAGTGACCAACAACCTTATGGTCACACCTTCACACAAATGTCCATAAATGCATGATATCCCA